TTTTAAGCTCTTCAAAATGGTCCAGAGAAAATTTGGGAATTCTTTTTGTTTTGAAGGTCAAAATCGAGAAAACCCATTTCTTACCCCATAAATCTACCCATAAAACCCCGTTCCCGTGGTCTGATCATGCTGGTTTGCGAATTCGTTCGAATAAACGTACGGTTTACAAGTTTGTACCAAATTGTATCGAAATTGGATCATTTTTGCTTGAGTTATCCTGCTAACGGACATATGGGTTATTACAAATGATGTTCCTGATTTTGATTATAAATATTACTGGGTTAATTTGTTTCAAGACTATTTTAGTTGTTACCATTGGAAAGAAAAACTCATAAAGTTTCATTTACATTGGTTTGGGTGCATATCAGCTGTTTGTCAAGTCAATTGTTGTAAGTGTTGTGTAATGGCTGAATTTAAAGGCAGGAAAGCTTTTTACCAGTTGGAATATTGCATTAACCAATCTGTTATTAGTGTGCAACGACACTTTAGAACCAGGTTTAACGATGATCCTCCTATTAACCACTATATTGGCAAGTGACACTTGAAATTTAAGAGAAATGGCTGCATTTGAATGTTACTTGTAGTAGGGCTGAACTTAACAATGTGCTGCCTGAGATATGGAATGAGCTCGGTGGTCCGAATAATGACACACCCCTGAACTGGCCTACAAGATCTCCGGACATCACCCCCTGTATTTTTTTTCTTGTGGGGATACATCAAAGATAAGGCGTACACACCACCATTATCAGATAGGATACTTGAGATCCAGCAACGGATTACCAATGCTAAATAGACCTAGACACACTTTTTAAAGTCTAGCAAGAGCTTGACTACATTATTGACATCTGTCGTACCACAAGGGGTTCCCGTATCGAGCATTTACAGTTCTGTGTATCTGTGTCGAAACTTTTTGAGTTTTTCAACAGTTGTAACCATTTTATTTCTTTGTATAACAAATAAAACTATATTTTATGTATGTATGAAATCATGAACATCATTTGTAATAACCCTGTATATACATATATATATATATGTGAATTTGAACGGATGTTGTTTTTGGCTTCTAGGGACATCAAAATGAAAAAGTAAATTGGTCCTGGGTCCAAGTCTTACCATGAGACCTGCGGTAAAAGATAACTGTAAAAGTTAATGTTACTTGATATGTTTAAATTTCAAATTGTGAAAATTAATATACAAAACTTGGAACTTTAAACTATCTTATATGAAACAATAATTGCATTTTTTTAGATAAAATACATAAAGTACGCATTAAATGAACAGAAAGGTCCCAGTCGTGTCACATCAGTAAGTAAAATAAAATCTGCCTTGCACACTAATTAAATTCCTCCGTCTCTCCAATCTGACTCGCGGTGTGTGGGACGTTGTATTCCTCATGAATAGTTCGAAACACTGTGTGAAGGCCTATTACACTATTATCGTATTACACTATACAGTATACCTCATGTATGCTATATACACTGTGTGTATGACGTTATAAACCTGAATGGTTACATACACTGTGTGTTTTACGTTATATAGCTCATGTGTAGTTACATAAACTAGGTGTTTGACGTTGTATACCTCATGAATAGCTCGAAACACTGTGTGTATATAAACATCATGTATGTTATATACACTGTGTGTATGACGTCATATACCTGTATGATTACATACACTGTGTGTTTGACGTTATATACCTCATGTGTAGTTACATAAACTATGTGTTTGACGTTGTATACCTTATTTAGTTACATACACCGTAATTCGCTATGAGTTAATAAATATGAACTGTACATAGGAATTTATAAATGACGTAGCTTGATATAGTATTAGTTTTGATTTCATCTGTAATTTTCGAAAGAGCCATTCCGTTTATCAGATAGTTTTAGTTGAAGTTTTTGCTCCCACTAACTACTATTGTTCAATACATAATATGGACACTGACGATGAAGTATAACAGACAGAAGGAAACTGTTTGTCAAATTTAACTGGGGATAGTGAACAGTTATATCTAAAAATAACCTTTTTGTTACACATAGATGTGGTGTTGATCCTGCGGTTTGTAGTCTACCTTTAGCTGTAGATCCGTCTATTACAAAACAAAATGACAGCCCTCTCAGGCGAGGAGAATGTTCTCCATGATGTAGAGCTCCACCCTTTAAAATTCTTACAAAACGTTAACGATATCACAAAACTCATGCAACGCCTACCTTGTTAGCAAAACAATTTCAGGTTGGTGGAATGACACCCGGATATCACATAACGACATAGTCAATGTAATAACAAAACAATGAATCTATAAACCAGTGAACTTAAGTATTTATGAATTGATTAATGACTTTATGTCGTTTTTACAATTGAAACCCAATCATAATGTGATAATAACAGACCAATCATGTGTCGGAAGCATGACCTCTGAATTTATCACTTTGTAATGTCGAACTACACGTTGTTAGCAGACCATCACAACCCCCGCAATACCTGACATGCAATCATATGGTGATTCAACTACAGACTTCATTTAGCCGTGGGACGTTTTAGACGCATTAATCCATTATAATGTCATTACAGTATGTCCCTTCAGATTAATATTACTGTAATTTTTTTGTCTTAACATGGATATGTTGGTAAACTCTGTAATCAACTTTAAATGGCCAAAAATAATTCTGGATTTTTAAAGATCAACTTCAATTATAAGGTTTGCATCAAAGAGTATTTTCACATACCTATCGTGGTATTAACGCATGAGCTACAAACTCATTTAACAATTTAGACAGGATTGTGAACAGTACCAATCAATGGGTGAGCCCATTGATTATTATAGTCAACGTTCTATCCCTTCTTTGTTATATCATACCTGATGATGGTAGTTTATGTTTTAAAAATGCAATAGTTCTGTGGACAGTATAAGGCCAAAGACAGAGTTAGTATCCCACTTTTTAATATTGTCACAATCATTTGAAAAAATGAAAAAAAATCTTGTAGTAGAGAACTAATATAAGATGTTAACATAAACTTGCTTTGGTATATAAAATATCACTACAGTCTTTGACGTTTAGTAAGATTGGTTTGTTGGTATGAAAAGTACTATCTTACATGACACGCAATGGTGTTCAATAATATAATGCCTCGGCAGCCACATGTTTGTCTGCTGAAATAAGGGGGAATTGATTTTAATTTCACGACTTCGCAATGAAGTTTATTTTTCTATTTACGTATCGGTAACATTATCCATCAACAAAAAGGTTTATTACGTTGAGAAGCTAAGTAAAGTTTGAAATGTTAAACAAAAAGTCCTGCCGGACGCTGACAAGGCTTATCAAGGATTATTTATGTTGTCCGCTTAGCAACAACGAAGCGCGCGAGGTGATTTATTTATGTTCTTTTTACCCTCAAAACATTCTTTTCGTTTGTAAACCTTATTATACTATTGATGCTTATCATTTATTTGGATGCTCATTTCATCTTTACTCGTCTACATACATTTTTAAAGCTACTCATCTAAATAAATTTCGTTAACATGCTTTTAACGAGGATCTTAAGCCCCCATACATACATATTTTCTAACAATATGCGCTAAGGAAAGTGTCTGAAATATACAACAATATTAGGCAATGGTATGAGAGTCAATGCAGTTGAATAACGTAATTAGTTGTAAGCGATAAGATGGAATTCTACATTTAAAAATGCATTTAATTTGGTATAGTTGTTGGTGTTATTTGTCACATCATAATCAACCAATCAGTGATGCTTTTATCCGATGTACAATCTGCAATCAATCTACGGCCTTTGATACCAAACACAGCCAATATGTTTGTTGTCCTTTCCCCCACTCCACCTCACACTGGTTCACTGAGTTATTTTCGCACCTTTGAACAATCAAGGAAACACTGTTTTAGCTACTACATATTTTTATTGTAACTCTCATCAAAGCTCGAGCTCAAATTCAATGCTGTTGTAAATCAAATCAAACCATACTGGATAAAAGAGCTAAGACATATGCGTACCTTCTAAATTCGTATAATAATCAAGACAATGTCTCATATTAATATTGCCTTTTTAACATTACATATGCGTAGTGTTTAATTTTCTTATATGTAGACATTACGTGAATCACCGTCAAACAGCGTACGTTATCATCCATATCGTCTCTCTGCGAGTAATAAAAGGAGACTCAGACGTTTTAACGTTCTTCTTTTATTCTAGAGTATTACCAAAGCAATAAGCGTGTTATAAAGTGGCCTTCACATTTCTATATATTTCGGCACATACGTTTATTTCAAATGTTTAGTTATAAGTTGACTGGATACTATTTTCACGTTTGCTTTTAATGTAATAGTTGTTTTATGTACTTTTACATTCATTTTAGGTCAGTCATCTTCATTACAGTCATAACAATGGAGTACACTAATTGTCTTCGCCTGTTGTGTATATAAATATGCTTCATAATAAATATATGTGCGATCGTTATTTTAAAAAATTGGAATCGAACCATACGGGTTTTTTGTGAAACAACAGTAAATATAATTTGTATATTATATTCAAAAGACGTATGTTGGTAGTATGTCATTACGTAAAATGTCATTTTGAATGCATGTGCGAAAACCAGTCTTTGTAAACAGTTTATATCGCGGAAAAGTTTAAATTCAGTAAAGTATATCATTGACAGAATTTCTAAGAAATAGATTTCTCATTAAAAATATATGATTTACGAAGAAGTTGTGCTACTAACTTAACTGCAATTGATGGAAATGTAATTGAGAAGTTTTGCTTACTATAGTCCTCTACTGTTGTATAATTGATATATAATTATTGATAATTGGTATCAAAATAATGTTTGTGCATAGTCAGCCACCCCTTATTTATTGTGATATCTTAATAGTTTAAGCACAGTTAACAGAGAAAATCCCTTTTCAGGTGATTTACCGACTTGTTGGTAGGCCTATCTTGTAGTCCAGTTGATGTGGGATTTTTGTTTTTATAATTTGATTTACTTGCAGGTACGCCGTTTTGGTGCCTGTTGGACATCGTTCCCATCAAGAATGAAAAGCGTGAGGTGGTCTTGTTCCTGGCTTCTCACAAAGACATTACCCACACCAAGATGGACGACTGCGAAGATATGTACGACAGTGGTGAGTGTCTAATCTATCCTAACAATAGCGGAGTGACATATGCGTAACTTCTAAATTCGTATACACTATATTTCTTCCGTTATAAAAGATTTGCCTTCTCGGAAAAATTAGTTTAACTCTACTTAGGCATTAAAGTTGTACACCGATATTTGGAAGAAAAGTATTCAAAAGCTGCTAGATTACACGTTATCATTGAAAACTTGTAATGGCATATCCAGTAACAAGACCATTTATAAAATAAACTAGCTGTACCCGCGGGCTTTGCCCCGTTTAACTTCACAAGGGAGCTCGTTAGCATGGCTCAAACACGTCCTGGTTTAAGTTCGTTCGCTACGCTCACTCACCTTTAGGTTGGAGCTCTTTCGCTCCGCTCACTTGCCTTCAGGTTAGCTCGTTCGCTACGCTAACTCGCTTCCAGGTTGAAGTTCGTTCGCTACGCTCACTCACCTTTTGGTTGCAAATTAGCTGTTGTCATAAATTTAAAAAAAATTATAGTGCTGCACCCTGTTGGTAATCCTTGTAACTTAAATGCTATTGAACATCATAGAACAGAACCAAATTGTTTAATTGAAACAGCTGTTAAGAAATCCCTTTTAAATATGAAAAATCATAAGGTTAACATGGGAAACTGCAGAGCCACTGGGGCGGAGCCCTAAAGCCCAATCAGAATAAAAACTTCTTAGTTTTCCTATTTAATGCCCAAAGAATCGGTGTACCGAATTTCAGGTAAATGGGAAGTGGGAGAATTAGTGATGAGTGAGTGAGTGAGTGAGTGAGTCAGTCAGTCAGTGAGGGTTTTGCCTTTTATATATTTAGATAATTAAGGTAAAAACTTTGTTGGTTACCTAATTTATTGGTTTTGAATTTGTTTCATCACAAGATAATTGGAGTTACAAGTTTATGCCAATGTAAAACTGCATTTTCCTTCAGTTTACTTCAGTACAATTCGGTAAAATATTGGACTCTTAAAAAATTCTAATTCCATTTTAGCGAATTTCCCTATAGGGAAGTAGCTATTACCGTAGGTCTCATGGTAAGACTTAGGCCCGGGACCGATTTACTTTTTCATTTTGATGTCCCCAGAGGCCAAAAACACCATTCGTTCAAATTTTTATATATGTATATATATATATATATATATATATATATATATGTGTCCGTGAACACGATAACTTGAGTAATTTTTATCCGATTTTGATGAAATTTGGTTTGAAGGTGTAAGGGGGGATAAACTTGAACGAGTTCGCGATCCAGCATGATCGGACCATGGGAACAGTGTTTTATGGGGGGTTTTATGGGGTAAAAATTGGTTTTTCTCACTTTTGACCCTCTAAATACAAAATTTCCCAATTTTTCTCCAAACCTTCTTAAAGAGCTTAAAAAAACAAACAATTCAGTATATCAAAGTGTTTTTGTACGGTTATTGGTTACGGAGAAAACTAAAAAAATGGTAAATTTAAAATTCCCATGTTATTCTTATGGAGAATATTGTAAAATGTTGTAGTTTGCTTGTTTATGGATATATTTTGATCAAACTTGGCAAATTTATTTATTTTATAGTAAGCTATCAATATTTTACTAAAAACACACTACTTTATTAGTTTCCTTGTAGCAGCAAACCTAGGTACTCGTACCCCATGTAGCACAGATGGTTGGGCCAACGTTGGTAAATTGTGGAGCCACACAGTTGGCCAACGGTAGAAATGTCACCTCTTTAAACTGTTTTCCAGCCAACCATTGTCCAACCGTTTTATTTCACACAAAATAATAAAGATTTAGTACGAAAAGCATAATTATTAGTTGAGTACATTGATTAAATAGTTCATAAAAACAAATTTTGAAAAAAAGCTAGAACACAATTTTTAGGCCCAGACGGGTCTCGAACCCGGGTCCTTCGACTTATGAGCCTCTTACTTTACCACTGAGCTATCTGTGATTGTTGATATAGAGAGTTTTCAAGTGGTGAAAGAGTAGCCGACAGTTGCAATGGTCGCAATACTTCAAACATTTTTGATACTACACAGTATAATATGATTCTGTTAATCTGTTAAGGCATCATAAGTAGTTATTATTATTATTATTATTTTTTTTTTGGAGTTAGAGAGGATACTGGTATTTGAATATGGATTAATTAATTACCGTTAGATTATTAATGCTATTATAATTGCCTGTTATATGATTAATTACTCTTCCCCTTAAATTGTTGCAAATAAGTTAAAGAATATTAATTTTAAAAATATTTGCATTATTATAATTATTAAAATTCATTGTTGTAGCCCCGGAACTGTAATATATCAAATATCTGGTTTTACAATACCTTTATCAGTTCCAAAAACTTTTGGAAACTTTTGGAACTGATAAAGGTATTGTAAAACCAGATATTTTATTATAATTATGTTGTGAAAGCTAGACCCAGAGAATGAAAGTCGTGTAAACTCAACTATGGACCATCGTTGGTCCAACAAAAGTATCTTTTGTTGGTCCAACGGAGTGAAAAACGGTTGGACAACGGTTGGCTTGATGTATGATACCCAGCAATGCATATTAATGTATTTCATTAACAATGAACCAATGTTGGTCCACAGTTGTAAATATTGGTTGGCCCAACTACGAGATATACAGTTGGACAACGGTTGGTTGGTTGTGGAAGCTCCAACCAACCATCGACCAACTGTCCCACAGTTGGCCAACGTTGGCCCAACCATCTGTGCTACATGGGACCTAATGTACCCAATGTTATTTAAATAGATCAATTAAAAAACCAATTCAGCCAAATGGAAATTCGCTTAGACGGCAGGTTTGCTGCGGCGGGGGTATTTTTGTATTTACCAGTTAGATCTCGTATCGATCCTCGCCTAGCAACAAAACGAGAACACGATTATCAATTTATGAGAAACCCAGAAATACATCAGTTTGTTAGTAATTGAGGCAATCTGAATTTGTTTGAAAACTAAGTTCAACAACAACATTATTAAAGAACTAAACTTTGTTGGTTACCTAATTTATTGGTTTTGAACTTGTTTCCTCGCAAGGTAATTGGAGCTACAAGTTTATGTCAATGTAAAATTGTATTTTCCTCCAGTTTACTCCAGCACAATTCAGTACAATATTGGACTCTTAAAAAATACTAATTTCATTATGAACTGTTAATACTATAACTCAGTAGTAATAAATCTTTCACCACACTATGATGTTTTTAACTGTTTTACATACGTTAATTGGTGGCTGAAAGTTACGTTTTGCTGTCCATGCCAGCTGTCATCGTTATTTGGGGGCCGAGCAGGTTTTTACATCCCTAGGGCCACAAAATCAGCTGCCCGCTTACTTACTTAAAACATGAATGCAAATCACACAATCAGTATCCATAGTATTGCAATAGAATTGTTTCATTGTCACCGCTGCCTAGCAACTATTTATTATAATTTTTGTTGATTCCGCAAATTACTTCTTCACATAACTATAAAGTTGTAGTTGTGTTGACTATCAGTGGGCATTATTATTGTTGCGAATAGTGGTAATAGGGTATAGTGTGGTGAAAAATAGCGCTCGTACCACGGACCGAAATGGTTTTACAGCTCTCGATCTAATTAGGTTCTCGACTTCGTATCGAACTTAAAAAATATCTCGAGCCGGCAAAACCTCATTTTCGGCCCTATTTACGAAATATACTACAGTATTACATGCATTATTGATGATCTTGAGCCGCAAAACCCTTTTGGCTCCGTGGTACGAACGCTATTTTCACCACACTATACAAAATTGAGAAAATATATACAATATGCACACGTGCCCACTAACATTCAACACAACTGTAACTTTAAGGTTGTGTAAACAAATATTTAGAGGAATCAGTAAAAATAATAAATAGTTGCTAAGCAGCGGTGACGATAAACCAGGTCTATTGCATACAAATGGATAGAGCTTGTGTATAGTAAAATCTGGTATACAATGTTATAAATAGGTTTTTACATCAATAGGGCCGCAAAATTAGCTGCCCACTTACTTTCTTAAAACACGAATGCATATCTATAAGTATAAAAGAGGATGTTTGTATATATATTTGTTTGTTTGTTTGTTTGTTTGGCAGTGATAAACTCAGACAAGGCTGAACCGATTGCCACGAAACTTGGTACATACGTGTAGAATGTCATGGAATAGGTTTATACACCATCAATTTCGTGATCCGTCCAATCGGCTCCGCCCCAGTGGCTCTGGAGTTTCCCATGTTAACCTTATGAGAAATGGAATTAATGAATCTTAACAGCTGTTTCAATTAAACAAGTTGGTTCTGTTCTATGATGTTCAATAGAATTAAAGTTACAAGGATTACCAACAGGGTGCAGCACTATTATTTCTTTTACATTTATGACAACAGCTAATTTGCAACCAAAAGGTGAGTGAGCGTAGCGAACGAACTTCAACCTGGAGGCGAGTTAGCGTAGCGAACGAGCTAACCTGAAGGCAAGTGAGCGTAGCGAACGAGCTAACCTAAAGGCAAGTGAGCGCAGCGAACGAGCTCCAACCTAAAGGTGAGTGAGCGTAGCGAACGAGCTCCAACCTAAAGGTGAGTGAGCGTAGCGAACGAACTTCAACCAGGACGTGATTGAGCCATGCGAACGAGATCATCTTGAGAATTAAGAAGTTAAACGGGGCAAAGCCCGTGGGATTATAAATAGTCAAAGGCAAGACAACGTCTGCCGGGTTCAGCTAGTTAAATATACAATTAGTATCCATAGCATTACAATAGAATTGTTTCATTGTCACCGCTGCCTAGCAACTATTTATTATTATTTTTGCGGATTCCTCAAATTATTTCTTCACATAACCTTAAAGTTGTAGTTGTAGTTCTGTTGACTATCAGTGTGCATTATTATTGTGGTAAATAGTGGTAATAGTTTATAGTGTGGTAAAAAATAGTGTTCGTACCATGGACCGAAATGGTTTTGCAGCTCTCGGTTGTTTTAAGTCCTCAACTTCGTCTCGAACTTAAAACTATCTCGAGCCGGTAAAACCTAAGTTTCGGCCCTTGGTACGAAATGTACTATTTCAAATGTTATTGGAAGTATTTTTGTTTACTTTCCGATAACGTTAGTGTTGTAACCAAATTCGCAGAAAATATAGGTATGATGGAACTTAAATTTGTTGTTGGCATAGTTATAACCTCAGAAGAATGATGGCAGATACGATTACTCTAAGGCTCCACTTTGTGTTCCTCTATCGTAGGTTTTAAGTCACGATTATCAGGAGGAGTCTTTTAATACTACTTTTATTACTAAAGTCCTATTAAAACGTGCATTGTGAAGACATTTTCTAAATATTTTAACATTAATAATACCGGTAACTATTAATTTACTTCATTCAAATATAATGATGCTCAATTTGGTATCTACCAGTAAAAGTCCAACTCAGAAAGCGCGTAGTTGGAAATGCACTAGCTTTTAACTTACCTTGCCAGAACAAAGTGTAAGTATATGGTTACCGCGCTGTCATCGTAGTGTCTTAGGATAGTTTTCTCTATTAATTTAAGTTTCGTTCTTTCGTTCGAGAGAACTTGTTGCTAATCCCTTTCAACCGAGTTTCATTACAATTCGAGATAGAAAGTTTCATTTAAGATAATTTCACAACTAAAACACTACATAATCCAACCATTGTCTTCATTTTCAACTTGAGAGCGCTGTTTAAGACTATAAGTTTGTTGAAATGCGAGTTTTAGTTACTGTCTGATTAACTTGTTGGTTTCCATGCGCAGTCATAAGCTTTATAACAGTAATTGTATATGTTTATTCCATTTATTACTCTAACTTTAAACAAAATTTATCATTTTGTCCTCAACTTTTCAGACAAAAGGTCCGAATGGTAATTTAAACATTGAATATACTTTGTAATGGGTAAAGATCGATTCTCACACACATCAGTTACGGCACGTTGCAGTCCAGTCACTTCAGGCACGTCACAGTTAAAAAAAATATTCTTCAATGGATTTTCTATTACACTCACCCATTACAGTTCCGTCAGTCGCTCTACTGGCGTCCGTCAGTAAATTTCAGACTTCTTTTCACCGATATTTTTGGATTGATCAGACACCTGACGGACGTGTTTAAGGTTAGAAAATAGTACTTTTTTATTTAAATAATTGATTTTGTATTTCAAGCAATGTTTGTAACAATCAAAAAGACGAACAGTGAAAATATAATAGAATATTGTGTTTTAATTAAACATTTTTTACTTTAACAACACTGTAAATAAAGTGACGGAAGAGTGACTGCAACCAAATGGCTGTACTGACAGTTTGACTGAGAAATTGCGGATGCAACTGTGACTGGACTATAACTGATAGGTGTGAATCGACCTTAATGGCCTACTGACGGAGCACATAGAAACCTACTAATCAACCCAATGTAGGCTATCTGTACTTGTATCAAAACTACAAAAATATAGTTTAATAAATGCAGTATCTTTTATAAGAAAAAATAATTAGAATTTAGTCTGTAGCAAACTCTTACATTCTTTCACAAGAGTTGGAGAGCGCTAAAGAAAATCTTAAGTTGAAAAAGATAAAGTTTAAATTATTGCGTCTCAATCAAAAACTTGATCCAACTAAGTTTCTGATTGTGTGATTTATTTGACCTTAAACATTTTTTTGGAGAGAGATATATTTTATGAGTTTTGGTTTGTACTGTGCATATTCACTTTTTGTACATAATTTACGACTTAGCTTGATAACAGATTTAAATAGTTAAAATTTTTTAAATTCACCATCTCATATTATTATATAAAATATGTCTACCAAGAATATCACAAACTTTAACTAAAGTGTTTATGCAATTAATTACTTGATAATTCCTAAAACTTTTAAAACCGATTACAACGCCACCACTAAACAGAATTTAGTATTTTGGTGTAGTTTGGTGTAAATCCAGCATTGACATAAATGTGTATTCTGTGTAAATCGTACCTAAATGCTCGTTAAGGTTACGTATCATCTCATGTCTCACTGTAGGTGAGCTTTAATATTCCGTAACTTGTGTTTGTAGCTTCCATCAAATATTTGGAAATCATGTGTAGAGCAATAAAATAAAAATATGTAGCACGTTTTATTACTGATATGTTTGACGTACTGACTATAGCACTGATATGTTTGAGGTTCTTGTCACATTTCGAAGTTTTGAGGATAAATGGAAGGAAAGTCCTATTCGTCTTCACACTTTTTATTTGTTGACAAGTTTCTTCGACTAGTCCCTTTGGAAACAGAGTTAACTTTATTTAGGAGTTCCGTCAACTCCTGAAATATAACTTTGTTTCTGGATCCTTAAGCAACAATGTGCAATATTCCACAACAAACTTTCCACTGAATTAATCATATCAAGATCTACCTTTGTTCTTAGTTTGTTTTGTGGGTATTCACATTACTAGAAAATCTTTAAATAGTATTTAGATTAACAAGCTAATGTCTAGATAAACATCTCGTACGATTTTGTAAGGTAAATCTCACTACAAAGTGTGTATTTTACGATTTTTCAGTAGCCTGCTAAACCTCCATATCACATGATGTTACAGACGCCAACGGTAACCTGGACCCCGAGGCACCACCAGCCAACTACGGGCGACGTCGTAGCCGAGCAGTGTTCTACCAGCTGTCAGGTCACTACACATATCTTGTAACCAACACTCAGTACTAACCCTCCATATCACATGATGTTACAGATGCCAACGGTAACCTGGATCCAGAGGCACCACCAGCCAACTACGGACGACGACGTAGCCGAGCAGTGCTCTACCAGCTGTCAGGTCACTACACACATTCCATTCCATTTCCATTTCCATTTCGTTTTGTCATGAGAGCCGAAGCCCCCTGACTGCATACCCGGTACCTATCCTTTAGGACATACCCGGGCCCCATGATGTAGGCCGAAGCTTACGCATCAACCTTTAGCACATCATGGGCGGATGACTTAAGGTCATCAGGCTCGCCGGCTGCCGAAGCAGACCCTTCGGAAGGAGGGTTGCCCCTCGATCCTAACCAGGGATTCCGGCTGCTTGTTTAAGCGTCACTCCACCTGGGTTCCACTAGGTCGAGACCTAGAGGTCCATGGTAAAGCGCCCCGACGCATTTAGTGCAAGCAACACTCGGGACCTATCTAATCCCTGACAGGCAGAACCCGCCATAAAAAGCCAGGAGGAAGGGGACCGTCAGCACGCTGACGGGGGGAACCCCAACCTCCCATTTACACCGCTGCCCGATCGAGGCCTTACCCATTGCTGGGAAACCAGAGATAACCAGAGCGATAGATCCCCAGATACCCCTGGCGGGCTCGGACCCAGCACCCGATCTACTTCGTTTGCCCGTCAGACCCAACATCACTGCCAGGCCATCAGGGTTTCCCAAAAGGATGCAGGTATAGAAGTGGGACCCACCCGGATGAACCTATCCACCAGAGGTGGCGACACCCTTGACTCAATTGAGGTTCCGGGAAGAACCCCCCACACTCAAGATAACCATACCGTCCGTGCTCAGAGACAGGGATTGGTTTGCATAAGTACCTACAAACCGTTGCCCTCACACTGCGGAAAGTTACGTTGCCCTTGAGTGTCCCCGTGAGCTGCGGGTACTTGCCCGTTTTCACCTCCAGGAAAGGTTACTTCCAAAGTCAAGGATTTGCCCACTGAATGCTGGTCGCACACAACAAGCAGGCCGAAGCCCAAAAAAACCACAGACACAGGTAGGTTAGAGATTATGATGTACTTCCATCTCTCCTAGAGCTAAACACCCCTCCATCCTGGATAAAGGAATGTCACTGGGACCCAATGCCCAGTCGTCCATGTCTGTGGCCAACTTGAAAATGCCGATACCAACACGGAGCATTTACCTCCCCTCTGGGGGCTAGGTATTTCACCTCCCAGGACGAGGCTACTTCCAAAGTCGAGGATATGCCTCACAAAATGTCAGTCGTACACGACAGGTAGGACTCAGTCACAACCACAAGCTACAGGCAGGTGAAAGATCTATGAACTTAATCAACACTAGCACTAGCAGAGCTGAACACCCCCACCACCCTGAATGGAGGGAATGTCACTGGGTACTCTCACTTTGGGTAAACCCAAAGAGGCTGGCTTGTCCAGTCGTCCATAGCTTGTGGTCTACCTGAAGTGCCGGTTCCAACACCGGGCAATTACCTCCCCTCTGGGAGAGCTAGGGTCCGCGTGGTCGCCCAGGCCACGAACCCACGCAAGCGTGAGCCCCCTGCGGTTACTACACACATCTTGTAACCAACACTCAGTACTAACTCTCCATATCACATGATGTTACAGATGCCAACGGTAACCTGGATCCAGAGGCACCACCAGCCAACTACGGACGACGTTGTAGCCGAGCAGTGCTCTACCAGCTGTCAGGTCACTACACACATCTTGTGACCAACACTCAGTACTAACTCTCCATATCACATGATGTTACAGATGCCAACGGTAACCTGGATCCAGAGGCACCACCAGCCAACTACGGACGACGACGTAGCCGAGCAGTGCTCTACCAGCTGTCAGGTCACTACACACATCTTGTAACCAACACTCAGTACTAACCCTCCATATCACATGATGTTACAGACGCCAACGGTAACCTGGACCCCGAGGCACCACCAGCCAACTACGGACGACGTCGTAGACGAGCAGTGTTCTACCAGCTGTCAGGTCACTACACACATCTTGTAACCAACACTCAGTACTGTAATAACTCTCCATATCACATGATGTTACAGATGCCAACGGTAACCTGGATCCAGAGGCACCACCAGCCAACTACGGGCGACGTCGTAGCCGAGCAGTGCTCTACCAGCTGTAAGGTCACTACACACATCTTGTAACCAACACTCAGTACTAACCCTCCATATCACATGATGTTACAGACGCCAACGGTAACCTGGACCCCGAGGCACCACCAGCCAACTACGGACGACGTCGTAGCCGAGCAGTGTTCTACCAGCTGTCAGGTCACTACACACATCTTGTAACCAACACTCAGTACTAACTCTCCATATCACATGATGTTACAGACGCCAACGGTAACCTGGACCCCGAGGCACCACCAGCTAACTACGGACGACGTCGTAGCCGAGCAGTGTTCTACCAGCTGTCAGGTCACTACACACATCTTGTAACCAACACTCAGTACTAACTCTCCATATCACATGATGTTACAGACGCCAACGGTAACCTGGACCCAGAGGCACCACCAGCCAACTACGGGCGACGTCGTAGCCGAGCAGTGTTCTACCAGCTGTCAGGTCACTACACACATCTTGTAACCAACACTCAGTACTAACTCTCCATATCACATGATGTTACAGATGCCAACGGTAACCTGGATCCAGAGGCACCACCAGCCAACTACGGGCGACGTCGTAGCCGAGCAGTGTTCTACCAGCTGTCAGGTCACTACACACATCTTGTAACCAACACGCAGTACTAACCCTCCATATAACATTGTGTTACAGACGCCAACGGTAACCTGGACCCCGAGGCACCACCAGCCAACTACGGACGACGTCGTAGCCGAGCAGTGCTCTACCAGCTGTCAGGTCACTACAAACAGGACAAGATTAAAACCAAACTCAAACTTAACAACGTAAGTAGCCTGTTAACCAATCATATCTTCTCTTTGACGTTAAACGCAAAAGTAAGGACCAAAATACTAGTTATCCTACTTTAACGGTTCGTCTGTTCATTTATAGATAATTTCCGCGCAAAATAGTACCACAACACGAAGAGGACCATCTTAATGCTTTTCATTTTGCAGCAATAATTTATAATTCAACAAAAGGGCAGTTAAAAAATTTTTTTTTCAGTTCTTTGAGTTCTACAAAGATACCAATTCAAATAGATTGTTTGTTGGCTTTTAGTTATAGAATCACAGGAAACATTTTATGTTAAGTTAGTGATTTCAAAAATTAAACACCGGTAATTAAAATTACGGATGGGCATTTCATTGTTATTTCATTAAATAATCATTACATTACTTTAATTTTAGTTCTAACTAGCATAGCAAAATTCCCCTAAAGCACAACATAAAACATACTATGAAAATACAAAATCCAACGTAAGTCATTTACTTCTTTACATTTTATACAAATAGCATTAAATAATTCAGTTAATTTGTGTTTTTACCAGGAAAGTTTTGGGGTAGTTTTGATTTTTTCCATTTCTTATGTATTTCGGGGTGTTGAATCCGAATCTGAGGTTTGCCAACAAAAATTCTTGACGCAACATTGACAAAAATGAGAAAAATATGGAAAAATGGTATTTTTTGTAATATTTGGCTTATAACTCTGAAACTATCAACTTTCCGTTATTAGACTATATTATAAAAATTAAAGTACACAAAATTTGCTACAAAATTTACCTTAAATGTGGTAATCTCCGATGAACCGTTTAGGCTCCAGAGCTATTTGAAAATTGGAACATTTTGTGTTAGTTTTTAAATTTCTCCAATTATTCTGTCTATGGCATATATTAATTGTATATGCCCAGGCAAAGGTCTTATATAAATCCAAAGTCTTAAAATTGATCAATTTTGTGTTACTCAAAAGAGATAAGTTTCACGAACTGTTGCCGTATAAATTATCCTCGCTCAGAGGGTTTTAATGAGGCAGGTTCTAGCAAACGTTTCGATGCATTATTTGTGAGCATTCTAGCTTGTTCATCTGGCCATTAAAAAAAGTTTAAAAGTAAAAAAAATTATCAAAATTAAAATAACAGCAATCTGTTTATCATGTAATATCGTATGCACCTGATGACGTGATATTAAGATTTACGTAAATAATAATAATGTTATGTAGACATATACTGTTCTGTTACTAAGCATTTATATTGTGTGTAGATTTAAAAAGTTAATAAATAAAGGAATGTGCGTTTGGTACCATACTTACTTTCTTACTTACTTAGACTCTAGCATCACAGCCCATTGTACATCCTCAATCGTATTGGCACCCATTATACAATTTTCTGTGTAAAATGTCAAGACCGATGCATGGCTTAGAGTGATTGGCACTGTTACCATAGGCCAATACAATTTTTTTCACCCCCTATCATTCACCCGAATGTAAATGTAAACTCTAAGCGAGTTATGTCCACGCAGCTGCTTGAGTTGGGGGCAGAGAGGCAATGTTGGATTTAGTTTTCTAGCCAACATTCGTATTGACTATCTTAAGTCGATTAACCCTTACCACGCTCATGTAGGCCTATGCCCCACGCCCTAGGACCTACAACCTACAAAATCTACACACAATGTAAATGCTTAGCAACAGTATATGCCTAGATAACATTTTATTATTTACGTATATCTTAATATCACGTCATCAGGTGCATACGATATTACATGAGTAACAGATTGCTATTATTTTAATTTTGATAGTTTTGATTTTGGTATTACTTTATTATTATGTGTAATTTTTTTTACTTTTAACCTTTTTTTATATGTGCAGATGAACAAGCTAGAATGCTCACAAATAATGCATCGAAATGTTTGCCAGAACCTGCCTCATTCCTCTAAACGAGGATAATTTAAACGGCAACAGTTCGTGTAACTTACTTTTCTGTATACTAAATAAAAAATCAACGGTTGAGTAACACAAAATTGATCAATTTTAAGACTTTGGATTTATATAAGACCTTTACCTGGGCATATACAATTAATATATGTCATTGACAGAATAATTGGAGAAATTTAAAAACTAACACAAAATGTTCCAATTTTCAAATAGCTCTGGAGCCTAAACGGTTCATCGGAGATTACAACATTAGGGGTAAATCTTGTAGCAAATTTTGTGTACTTTAATTTTTATAATATAGTCTAATAACGGAAAGTTGATAGTTTCAGAGTTATAAGCCAAATATTACAAAAAATATCATTTTTTCCATATTTTTCTCATTTTTGTCAATGTTGCGTCAAGAATTTTTGTTGGCAAACCTCAGATTCGGATTCAGCACCCCGAAATACATAAGAAATGGAAAAAATCAAAACTACCCCAAAACTTTCTCGCTATGAGTAAATTTAAATACAAATTTACTGGATTATAAAATACTTTACTTTAATTCACTGAATCATCACCAACTACAGATGTTAACCATTTTTGTATTGATGTAAACAAAATTGCATTATGGCCATTTGTTTTGATGTAAATAAATGTAAACCTAAACCGGTTCAGATGATTGACAACAGAATTCAACACAAACTCTGAAAAATCAAAAGCCTGTAGGACGAAAGTTTTTCACGAGATATCATCCAAACCCGCGAAACGCACATCTAAGATAAGATCTTTAAATTGATTGTTCGATATGACTGCTCATATTGTAGTTAATTTCGTGCCAGAAATCTTACACAGACATACAACGGTTGCATTGGTTTATGTCGATGGAAAGTAATTAAGTCACTTGTTAACTAATGAATGGCCATCACTGCGTGCGATTTACTGTTTGTTAAACCATTTAGTTGCAATAATTGGTTGTTGTATTTGTACCTTTATTGTTTTCTGATAAAAAAAAATTATTACAAAAATGTGAAGTTCTCACTTTTTTACCGCGAAATATTATTTTCGATTCGTTATCAAGGTTTACTTTTTCAACAGTTTTTAGATCATTGAAGGTGGTTTTGTAATATGACAATGAGTAGCAGATTTATTGTAGTTTAAAGTACTCTTGATTTAATGAATTCTCAGAATAATATTTGTTTTTCGTTTCTTATATTTTCGCACACTAATAACTATAAAGAAGATGTATGGTGGCTTAGTAGATTAACAATTACAGTAAGTAGCACTATGTTAGTATGATACTGAAATGGATTGTATATGCAACCAATCGAGACGCTTTATAGTAATGCAGTAACAGAATTCAGCTAAACAAACTTGCAAAGTCACAAAAATGCTTACTTGAATTTATTTTCGTGTGGAATGAAGATTTATGGATCAATGCAAGGATTGGTATTGGCTGCCTTCAGGTTCATTGGCTAAACCTCAGCTCCACTGAAGTTATGTATTCCGTTATATGTTTTCCGATATTCTTAATTATTTCAGAGGTATTGTAGTACAACATAGTATTTGTTTTATAATATATTTCTGGAAACCACGTCATCAAGTCTTGGTTTACTTATTCTACACAGCTAACTGAAGAGAGGACTAAATATTTTAATAGGTTGGAATAAAGCTTTATCTTGTTTTCACAAATTCATAAAAAATTTATTTTTAATGTTAACATAACTTTTTTAAGATAATCTTACGGAATATTGTAACTTTCAGCACAGATTAAACATACTCCCAGTCCCTTAGCTTTCAGTAAGCCTCTATGACGTATGAGCGATGGACAAGGTTGATTGAGCTCAAATATTTTACCAAAGAGAAACCAATATAATGCCAAATAAATATTGATATAGTGCCAATAAAAATGGGATAGCGTATTTACTTGTAATGAAATCAAAAAGCAAGATTGTTTCGACCATGCTCTTACTTTAATGCTTCAGGACTTTCTTGATTATTTTCAAATCATTAGAAAAACTATACAGGGTGACAAAAAAGTCTGGAAACGGCTTAATATCTTTTTAACTAAATCCGTTAGAAAAGTCAAACTTTTAACACCAACTTACATGTATAAAAACTACTTTTTCTAAGCATTTTCATGTTTTTACCTCCACCAGGGGACGACCCGTAAGGAGTAGGTACAAAATCTTTAATGTAAGCATAGGTTGATATGCACACTATTTTAAAGGTCTGGTCATGTGGAGTTCATTGCCGGAAACCACATCTCAAAAGGTTCATTCGTTACAAAATGGTGGCATTTCAAAGTTCTTGTGGAATATACCTTTACAGGCCTTAATATTGGTAAATACTCGTATTAAACATTATCTTGAGAGCTGAAATTGTATTTTAAAGTCAACTAGCCCATAGACTAAGTTTATTCAATCTTCAAAACAAATTTAAACGGGTTTCAGATTTCCCGGCTTATTTTGACTATGAGTATTTACCATTACTAAGGCCTGTGCAGGTATATTCCACAAGAACTTTGAAATGCCGCCATTTTGTAACGAATGAACCTTTTTTGACGCGGTTTCCGGCAATAAACTCCACTTGACCAGACCTTTAAAATGGTGTGCATATCAACCTATGCTTACATTAAAGATTATGTACCTACTCCTCGTAGGCCGTCCCCTGGTGAAGGTAAAAAAATGGTAATACTTGCAAAAAGTAGTTTTCATACATATAAGTTGATGTGAAAGGTTTGAATTTTCTAACGAATTTAGTTAAAAAGATATCAAGCCGTTTCCAGACTTTTTTGTCACCCATGTGTAGGGTATTGATAGAAATGCTATGCCTGGACAAAGATACAGATTGACTCGTTAGTCTTCGTATTTCCTTGGGACAAACTATTGATTCGACAGATTATATCTCCTAAGCTGATGGTGATGAATTGTGTATGTGTTGTAATTATTTTACTAACAGAATTAGTATAAAAACCAAGCAACTCATTATTCATTATTTTTCGCAATAAAAAAATTTGTCGATTTACAAAATCTATATTTCTTTTACAAAACGGACCTTAAAATTTCGTTTAACATAACAATTACGCTAATGAAAAAAT